GAAGAAATCAAGACATTTTTTTGAGATATTAAAAAAAATGTCTTTGCTTTTCTTATTAGTTAAAGGTATATAGATACCTTTACCTTTAAATTATGCGGGGGGAGGGGGTCAGCACAGAAAAATAAAATTACCTGTTACTCGCAATATTTGAATGAAGACAATTTGTTAAATTTCTTCTGCATGCGATTCAATAAGTTTTTTTTTTTCATAAATCAAGTTATATTATAAGATAAAGAAATCATGAGTAGACTACAACATCCGCAGATGACACTAAAATTACGTTGAATTTATTTATATAACGGAGGTTTCATTATGCACGCGCACATTACAGGTTCCGTTAAATAAATACTAAGGCACGTTTTAGTTTAATGACAGTCTCCATTTTTTTTACTAATGAATATGTATTTTTCTTTATAAAACAAAAGAAACTAGTATAAAAAACCTTGTATATTTCTATTTTCTCTAAATTGTTTAAAGTTCGAATATGGATTGTATTTTGAAGGACAAAAGATTTACTTTGAAAACTTCTAAATCTTGGGACTTTGCCGATGCTTTGCTGATGCGATGATCACAGAAAAAGAGAAAACTTACGTTATTAAAATCAAATGTAAGTTATGTGATCTTTATCAAAATAAAATATTATTAAAAAACAATAGTGCCGTAAGGTCAACTGCCCAACGGTTTATAAATAACACAAGTCATGTTAAAATATTTTAACATGTTACTATATTTTAATTAAGTTGATATATAATTAAAAGTAAAAATATAGTTTATTAAATAAATTATTCTTGTTCTAAACAAAGATTACCTCATACTTATTCTTTTTTTATTTTATTAAGTTAAATTGCTTACAAACGAAAAAAAAAAGAGTTTTGTAATTATATGTAGAATGAAAATACTTTTAAATTTGTTTATAAGTTAAGGAACTTAATTTTTAATAAACAAATATTTACGAACGTTTATTATAAACAGATACGATTCAAATTATTAAATATACTTAAATTATTTCAGTTGAGTATTTTTTTAAGTTTGCACGATTAAAGTTTTGCGTAGAAATATTTGTTTTTTTTTGTTTTAAGAATAATTAACAAATGAGTTTGCATAATTAAGACTTTTATACTTAATTTAATTTTTTTTTTAATTTCCTAAAATTAAAAAAAAAAAAGAAGATTTAATCGTTAAAAACGATTTTGCTCTATAGCTCTGTTTCTTTGTGATTTGTTTAAAAAGTAAAATATTTTTACAATAACATAAAAAATTTATGAATTAAAATCCTGGCGAACGCGTTCTAAACTATGTATCAAAAGTATGCTCAAAGCAGACAAAACTTTTTTATATTTTTATAAAACGCAATTTGAAACACTAAACAAGATAAATTTAAAAAATATTTAAAAACCTAAATTTTTCTTTGCAAGTCAAAACAAAATTGTTGTTTAAATAATTAACATGGGCTTGTGTTTATCAATGTTAATATTTTTTGTTTACTCTAGAAATTTTTAAAAATAAAAAAAATCATTATTATTTTTTATTCAATAACGATTAAAAACAATTATTCAAAAACAAATTTCAAAAATAATTAATATATATATATATATATATATATATATATATATATATATAATATATTTTACTAAATAATATTGAACTAAAATTAATAAAATAACAATTGAAAACATTACAAAATTTTCATAATAAATTTACATTTAAAACATTTATAGTTATTTGAGTTAATTGTTAAATTGAACTAGTTTGCGGTTATTTATTTATTGCGGTAGTTAAAACACTTAACGTCTATAAAAAAAATAAAGATAATTTTATGACGTCAAAATCGCATAAAGCTAATGCATTAAGCACTTTTTTATTTAAAACAAGGCCATATATATATATATATATATATATATCTATATATATATATATATATATATATATATATATATATACATACATATATATATATATATATATACATATATATATATATACATATACATATATATATATATATAGATATACATATATATATATATATATATATATATATATATATATATATATATTATATTATATATACTATATATATATATATATATATATATATATATCTATATATATATATATATATATATATATA